ATATATATATATATATATATAGAGAGAGAGAGAGAGAGAGAGAGAGAGAGAGAGAGAGAGGCAGGAATAGGACTTTCTAGATTTTTTTCCCCATTTCAGTGGCTTTTTCTTCTTCCAAAAGTGTATTTTATGTATTTCTTGGCTCCAAAATGCAGAAGGGTTATAAAGGTGCTCCAAGGGCCATGAAAAGAGGTTCAGAAGCTATAGGGAGGCTAGGATCTCAGGTTGCTCACATCAGGTCTAGAGGAAACCCACATCCCAGGCCTATGTTGAGCGAGCAGTGTAGAAATCTGATGGGTTACATTTGATTGGGGACTCAAGACTTGATAGGCAATACCCTACTTGAGAATTTTGAAACTATAAACATTGGGACCGCAGCATTCAGGAAGAATCACTTTTCCTTCTTGAATATTTCCCTCCTCCCCCCTCCCCCTTAAGCCTATAGAGGTAGAGTTATACCTCTATAGATCCACTCACCGTTCTTTGTATCCACTGCCTTGCCTGACTAGTGACAGGCTAGAATCACCTGGGAATTGAAGGGCAACTTGATAGCTTCCACCTCCAAGGGTATCCGTTGGCTTGGCCAACAAGAAGTAACTGTTGGGTGTCAAAGGCACAAAGGTTTAGGGAGCACCAAGAACACAACACTGAAGAACAGAGTTGACACTCCCTCAGAGGGTGTGGGAGCAGGAGAGTGTATTGTAAGGGATGACTTCTTTGATCAGAGGCTGTTACGTCTGCCAACATCCTTGGACTCCCCCCCCCCTTTAGGGTGGAGAAAATGGAATAAGCACAAAACAGAAAGAAATTCCAGTCTGTCTTTATGGATCTATACAAGCTGTTAACAGATGGTCAAGGGCGGGTTTTCTCTCTGCCTAGCAAAAGATAAAGAACACACATGCTCACGCTCTCACGCTCGATCTGTTTTTGAGGCCCATATTCCTGTCCCAGTTAAGCAGCAATGTTGTATTTGAAATGGGTGAGTTGCAGGCCAAGGAACCAGGTAAACAATGTTAGCTACAGCACCCAGGCCTCGCCTGTGCCCACCAAGAGTGATCTGGGTGCTGATCTCTCTCCCTCAGTTGCAGCTTTTCAATTTCATAAGAACAGAAATTATGGACTTCCCGCACACAAGGGTTACCTCCTCTACCCAAAACCAGCATTAGGCAAGTGGGACAGGAAGAAAAAGATGAGTTTCCTCTCTCTGCTGGTCGTGGTCCCAACTCCATACCATAAACAATTGGCATATTTTCCGCAGGAGGAATAGGAGACGGCGAGATTTGCTTTTCTCTTGGTAACTGGCAATTTCACTTTGCTGCAACCTGGGAGGGAATGTCACTACACCTCACAGGGAACCTGAGCTTCTTCATGGCCGGTGGCAAGAAATTGGGAGAACTGTAGTCTGAAACACGGTGCTGAACCCTGCTTCAGATTCTAAGCTTTGCAGCAAAAGGACTACTGCTTTGGGAAGACTGAATAAGAAGAGCTTATGGGAAAAATCATTTCAACATACATCCTCCTTGGACCAAAAAGGGTCCTGTCCTACTCTTTGCACTCACACCAGCAGCAGCACAGGGATTATCTGTCAGTGGTTAGACTTGGAGAACTTACAAGAACTATTGGCAGGGGGAAGGGGAGAAACAGGCTGCATTTCTCTTCCACAGAAAGCATGAAGCACTTTGTCTTGAATGGCTTTGCAAAGAACTTCCCAGAAAGAGCATGGATGAAGGAAGGTGTGCTGTTTTAAGGATCTAGTAACATTCACTCTTTCTGCAACCAGAATCAA